TCCGCCACCTAATTACTCATAACGTTAATTTTAACAATAAATCTTTGGGTTCTAATCTTAGCAAAAAGGAAAATGAGATCTTACGTGAAATTCATTCTGATACTAATATCATTATCTCTAAAGCTGATAAGGGCGGACAGATCGTTCTTATGGACAAACACACATATATTACTGGAGTCTCTAAATTGATAAATGAAGGCCCATACTGCTCAATCCCTAAAGATCCTTCAACTTCATGAAAGTAAAAAGTGCTATTAAATGACCTCATGAAAGTAAAAAGTGCTATTAAATCTTCCCACATTCTGCCAACTCAGTTGAAGAAATCACTTATTCCGCCTATTACTAATTGCGCTAGACTTTATGCTCTTCCAAAAGTCCACAAAACCGGTATTCCTTTTCGACCAACTGTTTCCAACATAGGTACTGCTTCATATCCTTTGGCCAAATATTTAGTTTCCAGATTTTCTCCTCTACTTGCTAACAATATTCACACTGTAAAAAATTCTGTTGAAGTCATTGATAAACTTAAAAATATTTCCCCACTTCGTTCCATTATGGTTTCAATTGATGTCAACTCATTGTTTACTAATGTTCCAGTCGAAGGAGCACTAAATTGTCTTGAAACTAGGCTTCGGGAATTTCACTTCACACATACTGAAATTAATGAGTTGGTTTCGCTTACTAAAGTTTCTCTAAGTCAAACCCACTTTGTTTTGAAAAATGCATATTTTCGTCAAGTTGAAGGATTGGCTATGGGTAATCCTCTCATTTCGGTACTTGCTGACATTTATATGCACTATTTTGAGATGAAATTATTTGATAAATTATCTTTTCGTCTTTGGATTCGGTATGTTGACGACACTTCCGCCCTTTTTGACGGTTATAAAGAGGATTTATCCGAGATTCTATCTATTATGAATTCAATTGATCTATCCATCCAATTCACTCTTGAAATTGAATCCAACAATTCCATCCCCTTCCTCGATATTCTTATAATCCGCAATGAAACCGATTTTAGCACCACTGTGTACCATAAACCCTTTGCAGTTTGTTTACCACCCCATGCCAAGTCATACCACCTGTTAAGCAAAAAATGGCTTCTTTTTACTATTATGTTTTCCGCACGCTTAAAGTTTGTTCCTCTGAATCTTTGCTTACCAATGAACTTAATTATTTGAGAGCAGTTGCGATTGATCGTGGATTTTCTCCCGTGATTATTGATAAAGCCGTTAAAAAGTTTTCAGATTCCCATCAAAGAAGACATTCCACTGTTAGAAATAATATTAATGACCTTGTCGTGCTTCCATTTTATCCTTTTGTTAGCTATAAAATTGCACGGATTCTCCAGAAATTCAATTTTCAAGTCGGTTTCCCTATTAATAAAATTCACCCTTCGATTCTAAAAGATTGCGTTTCTGTCTTGAATTCTTGGGGAATTTATAGTATATCATGTCAGTGTGGTTTAAGATACATTGGCCAAACAAAAAGAGCGTTGAAGTTTCGTATCAAGGAACATGAATCTTTTGTCAAAAAGGGCGAAATTAACAAGTCTTCAATAGCGTATCATAGTTGGACTTTTAACCATAATTTTGATTTTGGGTCTGCAAAAATCATCCAAAAGGCTTCTTCCATAGGTGAATTGGATTTTCTTGAGGCTTTTCACATTCACAAAGATTTAGCAAGTTTAGTTAATGATTTGAAGTCCAATCCAGTCCTTCCTAATGCCTTTAAAATTCTACTATCTTAATTCAGTTATTTTTGACGATAGATGGCGTTACCTCCTCGCGCTTGGTACTACCAGAGGTTATAAAAATCCGTTCAGTGGTTGCTTTCCATTATTTGAAGTTCAGATTTTGAGCGTAAGGTTTCATTTGCCCCTCGCTCCCTATTTTAACTTCGCTAATATTTCTTTATGCTTGATCAGATAGCCTGGCTCAGTAAAAGTAGGCGGCCAGTGCAACTCTGATTAAAAATCTAGTTATAACCACGTGCAGTGCTGATAAGGACCACGTGTTTCTGTGACTCCTTCTCCTATTTTCTTCTTTCTATGTATTTGTTTCTCCTGATGAGGAGGGACCTTTAGGACGATTGAGTGTTTCATTATACCTATGCTAAATATAAGGTTGTTTTTTTACGATTTTGATAATTACAAGTGATTTGTAGATTTATGAAACGTTATGCAGCTAAAAAGTAATCCTGCGCTCCACTCAAAAGAAACATCGCACGAGTACAGTCCTACTCACTAAACATCCGTAGTCTTATTCCGCTGACGTTGCGTGAACGCAACACTCTCTTTTTCCACAAATAAGAGCATTTTTTTAATTTCCAATGTAAATTGATGTTATAAATGTTTAATTTAGTAATTGTTATTATTTTCGTGAGAAAAGAAACATTCCTTGTAGTTTTAGCGATTAATGGGTTAACGACTTTTGACTGTAAAGTAATATGACGTCATTCATTACATCATCCACAACATAAAATATCATAAATAATAAAATTTTTATTTCAATTAAAAATGCAAAATTAAATTGATTTTTAATATTTTGAAGCCATAAATAATATTTAAAGCACAGAATTTATGCATAATAAAATGCATTATTTTAAAAATAAAATGACAGCAAAGTATCAGTTACCATAAATAACTTGGCTAGCAATGGGTTTACAATAAGTCGAATTGCTAGCCTAAAAAAAATCGCCAAAAGCCGTACAACCGTCTACCAAAGTAGCACCTATATTTACTTGCTAACTCCAAGAAAACATAAGCCAAAAATCTCTCTCAAGATTATTTGCATCTTGGATAGACAGCTGTCACATGGTATGCAATAATTAATAATCAAAATGCAGTATAAGCTATTTTTTTTAAATATTATGTATGTGACATCAAAATGTGTATTGAAGTTTCTAATGTTAGCTCTTGTGTATATTCATTGTATATTATTTAATCTTTTAACATACTTTAACTAATCTAATAATATCTATCGTCTTTTGGTGTAAATGAATTTGAAACCTGGATTATACTTTCGCAAATAATTTTCTGAATGCAAATATCAAAAAGGAATAGGGATAAACTTCACTACATTGAACTTCAAAAGACCAGATCAATTCACTTTATCCAGTTCAATAAAAAAAATGGATTATCTTATAAAAAGATAGAGATTGACTGATGAATCATAAGAGAAGAAACTGCTAATTAACATTGTCATGGCTATCACAAGAAGTGAGTAGTAACTCTTGAAGTTTGAATTCAACTGGAATTAGGTTCTCTGTTTTTGCTTGAAATCGTAATTCTACTCTGAACCCCAAATAAATTAAAGTCTGGTATTTTAATTTATTATCTTACTCTTTATCATTAATGTAATTTAATTAATTAATTCTTATTTATCTGTTTATATTTTATTTATTATTTTATATATTTATTTTTTAAATATCTTTCTTGAAAATCTTCCGTAAGGCTCAGTACTTCTAATTTAAAAAATTGAGCTCTCCTAATTGTAGTGTTTTTTTAAAAAACTTCATTATATATTAATTGCAATTGTCATTAAATTTTGTTTTTAATTCTTTTTTGACTTTCGCCATTTGTTAATAAATTGCTTAGTGTAAAAATGTATGCAAATTTTTCTTTTGAGTACTAAAATAATCTGTAATTTCCTGGTGATGTAATGCAGATTCCAAGAAAATTTTATCCCAAAATTTAAAAACTGTATTGCTTTCAGTTCTATAGTTTATCTGGATAAAAACTTATTAATTTCACGTAACACAGTTTTCCCTTAAGGATGCGTAATTTTTCAGTTAAAACTTCCAAAAATTCTGGAAAAAATTATGAAGAATAGGAAGAAATCTATTTCATTTTAAGATTACCATGAAGTTTGTTGTGTCTGATTTTCATATAATCATGGAGGTTCACGATAACCGCATAAAATAACATTATATGGATAGAAACTTGACAGAACCAAAATATTTTTTTAAAAAACTGGGTTCACTATAGCAGGTTTTTTTTGTGTAGTTCTATGTTGGCAATGCCAAGAATGCATTTTCTGCATGTATTATCTTATTTTGTTATTCAAATTTCTTCATCCTATTCTTTTTACTACTACATATAATATTTTTATGATTTATTTGTTATATAAACAAGTGAAATTGGTTTCATTTAATTAAAAAAGTTATAGCAAAGGTATTACAATACTTGTGACTGGAGAGCATGTTCTTTTTTAAACAGAAAAGGATACAGCATGCACCAGACTGTAAATTATTCAACTAATTTTACAGATCCTGTAAGTAATTTACATATACAGTCTCTGAAAGGGAACCAACAGCCTCTAAATTAAAATTATTAAATAGCAGGCTTTAAGAAAAAAGTGTGTTTATCCTATTATTTATTTGAATTATTGTTTAGGCAATAACATAATAACAATTATGCATATAATGAAATTTTAAACGCTATCATAAAGAGTTTTCCAGTTTGAAAACTGAAAATGTTTAGTTTGGCATCCTCTAATATGGAGATTGCTAGATGTGCGTTTATCTTAATGTTTGTAACCAGTGCAAGTGGAAGGCAAGTTCAGAAAATATTAATGAAACAATGACATTTAAATTGTCTCTATTTGATGAAACAGAGCATAATATTCTGGCAGAAATTGACTTTACAGATATAATTCAGTTTTGACTGCTGTCATTCCTTTAAATTCACTAAAGAATTCATTTTTTATAATATGCAGAATATTTTCAAATTATCTATTTTCTAGTTATCCATGTTATATTTAGTTTCAAATTATCTATTTTTTAGTTTGTAAATTTTGAATAATATCTCCAGCTGGTCAGCTGTATTGTTGATAAATTTCACTTCTTGTTTATTTCTCTAAAAACAACTTTTTTAAATATTAAGGAGATCTGAGTATGAGCAGCCAAAATTTTTACAGTATTTTTTAAATATTTGTTAGTTAATTGAATTTAGATTGATTTATTCTCATGCCGTTAGATTTAATTCTGATTTATGTTTAAAGATTTCAGAGAATGATTTTGAAATATTGTTACTGTATATAACTGATCTCAAGGGAGGAGCAAAATCTAGATTAAATGACATTGCTGAAAATATTCTGAAAGACTATGAAGAAAAGTCAAAAAATTCCATGGGTAAGCTGTATAATTTTTATTATTATAATAATTTTATAGAGATCATTGAATCATCCAGTTTAATTTCTAAGTCTTTACTAAAAAAATGTTTCTCATCAATAAATAAAATTTATTGAATTTCTGAAGCATAAATTGTTAAATTCTGCTATCTCACCCCTATTGATTTTCAGCATAATTTTTTTTATTAAATTTTATTTATCTGAGTTTTCTTAACCTACTACAAATATTTGTGAAATCTTATATAAAGATTCAACCAATCTTGAATCGTTTTAATATCCCTATTTAATTTTGTATTAGATCCATAAATAGTATATTAATACAGTTATTCTCACAATAGTATGTGTGTTAATTATAAATGTTACTTTTATCTCATTTAAAAGTATTTTGATAAATAAAAGTGTTCCTTCCCTAAACCTGCAATTTTGATGTCTCGAAAGCATGATTTAGGATATATATTAGATTTATGTATAGCATTCTTCTAACATAGGTATTTTGACACAAAATTGGACATTTTTCTGAAATGACATACCGATTTTTTTTCCATATTTTGATTCTATGGCTCAAATTATGCCAAAGTACCAAGTTTTGTAAAAATCACACGAGTGGTTTTTAAAAAATTTGCTCTCAAAATTGTAGCTTCTCGATGTTAATTGAATATGGTGTATATCTATTAATATCTCTTTTTTATTAAACTTATCAATGCGAATAAAATTTGCAGATGTTTTCTGATTTATTTTTACAATTTTTATTCTTTAGTAATTTTTATAAATTTTTTGAAAACAATTTTGAATTATAAAATTTCTGCCGTCACCTAGTAGATATATTTCTGGCATACCCACATGGGGCTTGCACACTTTACTAAAATTATTTGAAAGACCTGTATGTACCTTTTATAATATATGTACCTTTTTTTCCCACTTGTGCACAACAAAAAGGAAAGAAAAATAGGATACCATGAATTAAGAATTTCGTCAAGTGAATTATTCTTGGTGCAAATTGAAAAAAGTGCAACTAGATAAATTTTTAATTTCTTGGTAAGTTTCTCATCAAATTTTACAAAATTTAATATTCTGGCATAATGTGAGTTGTAAAATTGAAATATGGAAAAAAAATCAGTATGGCATTTCAGAAAAAAGTCCAATTTTGTGTCAAAATGCATATGTTAGGGCAATTATGTGTATAAATCTAATATATATCCTAAATCCGCATTTTGAGACATGTTGGCTCAGTAGAACAGGAGATACAGAACCGTCCTCCTTTTTTTTTTTTTTTTTTTTTTTTTTTTGTACAGAGTATGCCTACTGACAAATCTAACCTAAAACATCACATCAGTGCTTAAAAATAAAATTATTTTTCTTTAGAGTACTTGGCCTTTGTTCTCCACTTAGCCCTTTTACATTAGATGCAGATAAAAACTGGCAAGATGACCTTTTCTTATGAAAGTCACCATCACAGGTAGGACTGTCAAAAAGGTATGCCAAAAAATGGTAAAGTTTTTAAAATTGCTTCTATAGAGTTATTAGCCTTCAAAAACAAATACATCAATAGGCTACATGGTTTTATAAATTAATAATCAAGATGCAGGAGTTTTTAAAGAATGGCCCATCAAACTGAAAATAATTTAGGAGCCTGATCTCCCAAATCAGTGCAAAGCTGAATCTTCCACCATTTCAGGTGATATGAAATGAAACTTAGTGAAATAACTCTGGTGTGACAACTGGGAACACTTTCATGTGAAAAATTGTAGCAATAGCATAGCTGCTAAACCTCCCAAGTTTTTAATTTTTAGCCTATACTAAGGAAAATGTTTTGCAGCAATAAGTGAAACTTAATTGTGCAAACTTCATTCCTTCACACCTAGTGATTTTCAGCATAATTTATTATTACATTGTCTTTGACCTGAATTGTATTTACATTACATGTGGACAGCAGTTAATATTTGTATTTAATTTTGTTTTACATAACTGTATGGCACATTACACAGTTTATCCACATAATATTATGTGCATCGATTGTAATTTTATTTTCATTGTCTTTAAAAGTACATTAATAAATTGGCTTATCAGGTTCAATGTTCCTTCTAACCTTCTTCGGGAACATAAAAGGACCTGACTCGGAACAGAGAGCTTACTAAAGCTATGTTCACTAATTGTGGTAAGTAGACAGGATACAGACGAAGGGTATACAAAACCCTTTATTTTTCTGTATATACAATAACTTCCGTACTTCGGAATACAATGACCCGCCACTCGGGGTCTAACGTAAAAGTATAAAAATAAAACTAAACTCTAACTTTAGAATAATACACGTGGAAGATTGGCCTTATAATAACAGGAAGCGTATGTAGCACAGAGACTGTGAACACTACAATACGTTTTAATTTATCAAGAGGATTAAAACCTCTGGCCTGGAAGGCAAACAGCAACTGCGTAACTTCTAAGGTAAGCGGCCTGCGCTTCGACTCACTGCTTCCTCTCTCTCGCTTGGCAAAAAGGCCACAACTTAAATACTTGGCGTTCGCCAGACAAACTTTGCATAAAAACCTTCACGCTTATAATTCTGGCCGGAAGTAGAAAATAAGAAGTGATAGTAAAGATTTAAAATAAAATAAACGTTAGTAAAACTTAAGATCCTTACATACTTCCCGCCAGAGTTAATTAGTTTGAAACTGAGGTCTAAAACGACCTTGTTGAAAACTTTTAGCTCTAGAATCTAACGCGAGGCCAAACCTTTTACAAACACACTTCGCTAGAAACTAGAAATTTAAAAGAAAGAAATTTGTTACAATAGCAGCTCCCAGGATATACAACAATTTTTTTTTCATCTGTACTGCATCTAAACAGGAGCTTTTATTCAATTCTGGTTCCTTCCAGAGATCTGGAAGGAAAACTAGTTTAATGAAATGTTACACAATGACATGGCAAGTAACATATACAATTATACTTCTCTTAACATTCTTATTTCATTCATGACTATTTTAATTATCTCTCCCCGTGCTCTCTGACATGTGTTGTAAAAGAACACCAAACACGAATGTGTTTCTGTCTACGTGTGCCACACTTCCTCCTACAATCAAAACACTAACGTGTTAAAATTCAACATAACGAGACCTCTTAACACACCCTAATTTCAACTCTAAACCCTGAGGTACTATTCTAACGTCAGAGAGCCTAACTACATCATTCAACCTTTAACACATATTCGCCATGATTTAGTCTTTACAGTCACACGAATAACAAATTTTTAACATTACTTTCACTTTTACCATATCACGGTATTTCTTAACATTTAAAATAACAGTTCACATTGTATATAAGAACATATCAACATGCTGTTAATTTTACACATTTGAAAACATACATTAGTAGTACATTGTTAACTTCTATTCTTTTCAAAGCAAGTGCCAATTCTTTCTACATTGAAATAATACTACATTTCAAAAAGTCTTTCAGACTAAAACTTCTTTCTTGCTAGAATGTTTTAAATAAAATTTATACAATAACTTTTTACAATATTTAAGTCTTTACACAACGCTATTATACATCAACTTTAGTTTTACGCGCGAGTAATTGAAAAACATAATAAGAAAATCGGTCACAACTCATTTCTCGCCCTTTTGGCGATAAAGGTAGACCTCGCATGAGGTAAAACTTCTTGAAATCTGCCACTTGCAGTAAGAATGAAAGATTAACTTAAGTTTGCAAAGTAACATAAAATTTTACTTATCTTTGTAATATTCGGACATCCTTTTCTGGGCCCAGTCTTTAAAGGTACTGCAGATAGTAGCTTGATTTATCCTCCTTCTTGTACGGGCTCGCCCTTCAGTGCTTTCCTCTGGAAGCTTCCTTTTTTCACCAGTTCGGCCACCCTTGAATACTTCCTTTTCCTTTCTCCTCTGCTTGTGGTCTTGGCCGTTTGATGGCAGCTGGTCTTGGCGGAACCGGGAAACTTTTCTTCGTGTTGTTCCTTGCTTGCTGACCTCCGCGTTGTTGCTGGCTGTCGATCTTCCGTTTTAAAGCCGGGTTATAGTTGCCGTCATTTCTCCTGGTTCTCTTCACATACGTCGTCCTTCTCCCTTCTTCATTCTGGGGGTGTTCGTGAACTCTCTTTTCTGGACGGTGGAACGGCTTCTTTTTCTTGTTACCTTCAATTTTTCCGCGGGGCAATTTTCTTTTCACTTGCTTCTGTCTCTCATTGGCTTGCCCTTGTACTTGTCGTTTTCGTTTTTCCACCTCTGGAAGCTTGTACCTGCGGTGTCTGCCGTGCCGGATCCTGCAAAAGATCTGAAAAGATTTGCATTTTATTACGATCGAAGTAGGGCTTGATTTGATCAATGTTTGCGGAACAGGTTTCACCATTTCTGGCTTTTAACACTACAACAGCGTGAGTTATTTTTTCTATAACATATGGTCCTTCAAATCGTGGAAAAAATTTGGCAGTTTTATCTTCTGGTGCTGAAGAAAGTGAATGCTTAATTTTTAAAACTTCATCCCCTACTTTATAAGTTACTCCCCGTCGTTTCAAATCATAATATAAGCTTCTGTTTTCTTTGTGCTACTTCCGTATTCTTTTTTGCTTCTTTTATTAGTTTTTCTATATCACCCATTTTAAATTCTGGGGCTCTTTGTTGCACATAAAATAATTTATCTAACGGTGTTATAATCTTTCTGCCTAGAAATAACTCAGCAGGAGTTTTGCCCGTTGTATCATGTTTTGCGGTCCTAAGGGCGAAAGCAAATTCATTGACATAGTTATCCCAGCTTTTATGAAAATTTTTAACATAACTACGGATAATTTTCACTATATTTCTGTTGACCCGTTCCGCTATATTTGATTGCGGCCGATACGGGACCATTTTTAAATGACGTATGCCCAGTTTTTGGCACATGTCTTCAAATATATTACTTACAAATTGAGGACCATTATCCGATATAACTTTTAGGGGCGCCCCGTATTTTAAAATATATTTATTTAAAATAGAATCAGTAACTAATTTCGCGGAGGCTCGTTTTAAGGGAACAATTTCGGTCCATTTACTAAAATGATCAACCATAACAAGGAGATAGCGACTTTTATTTAACTGACTTTTTGGGAAAGGGCCCAATAAATCGATGCCAATTATTTCATTTGGAAATTCGGATTTAATACTATTTAGAAACCCGGCCGGGCGGAAATTAATATAATTAACGGCTTGACATGTTGGGCAGGACTGGACATACGCCCTTGTTAACTTTTGCAGTTCAGGAAAGTAGACTGCCTCGCGTACGCGTTGGATAGTTTTTCGAATACCAGCATGAGAAGCTAAAGGGCTGTCATGGAGCTCCTGCAGGATATTTAATCTAAGACTAGCTGGGATAACAGGTCGAAATTCGTTGTTGGAATTCGTAGTTTTTGTATAGAATAATAGACCATCTATTAGTTCGTAATGGGCCGCCCTATTTCTTATCGCCACAATATCTTGGTGGCTAAAATTTTCAGGATCCTTCAAATACTCATAAATACTTCCAAACTCAGGATCCTTACCCAGTTCGGTTATTACAGTTTCTCGGGAATTTATTGTACACGCTGTAAGCATTGCCAACTTTACGGTATTACCCTTGTTCGTCTAATTTTAATTCGTGATAGGGCATCTGCTACGATATTTTCCTTTCCAGGGGTATGCTTGATTACCAGATTATATTCTTGCAGCTTGAGTGCCCATCTTATTAACCTTGGGGATAAATTTTTCCCTGAGTACAATCTAGTTACCGCCGCATGATCAGAGTATACTGTTATCGGCGCCTTTCCAAAATAGACTCGGAACTTTTGCACTGCTAACAGAACTGCAAGTGCCTCTCTCTCTCGGTCGCGGAATAGTTTCTTTGTGTTTGATTTAAAGTTCGGCTAAAAAATGCCACGGGCTGCTGATTTTGCGAAAGTACCGCTCCTACCGCATAATCCGAAGCATCCGCTGAAATTTCTAAATTTTCATCCTTTTCAGGAAATTTCAACACAGGGGCTTGCGTTAATGCTTGTTTTAATTTTTCGAAAGCACTATTGGCTTCGGCCGTCCACGAGAATCTTGCCTTTTTCCTTTTTAATTTTAACAATGGCTCAGCGATAGCCGCAAAATCTTTTATAAAGGACCTATAATATGAACAAAGTCCTAGAAAAGAAGAGAGCTTCTTTGCCGTGTTTGGAGTCGGATACTTTTGTACAGCGATTATTTTTGATTCATCTGTCTCGATCGATCCCTTTTTGAGATATTTTGTAACCTAAATATTTTAATTCAGGGGCTGCAAATTTGCACTTTTCGACATTAACTTTTAGACCGGCCTCATTTAATAAAGAAAACACCTGTCTTAAATCCTGTACATGTTGGTCGAGATTATCACTAGTAATAATGATATCGTCTAAATAGATAAATCTGGACTTTCCAAGAACAGGTCTTAACACAATGTCCATGCATCGCTGAAATGTTGCTGGGGGCCCT